TCAGGCAAATTTTAAAGTAAAACATTTTTAATTGTATTTAAAAAACCATGTTATTGAGGAACGTACACATCACAAATAATAATGTAAATACCAGGTATTTTGAAAGTGACAATTAATAAAAAAAACATAAAACAAAAATATACAAAAACAATTTCTCTAAACATGTTTATTCTACTCTATAAATGAATGGCGAATGGAGAATTTTTTGCCATTTTTTTTCGCAATTTACTAGAATTTTTGAGGGTGTACGAGCCAAACGGATCTCAGAATTGGATTCAGCAGGTCGAAATACACGTTGGTAGTTGGCTCTGGTTAAAAACACACACCCCTTTTTTTGCCGGTGTTGTTATTTTTGCACTTAAAATGTTTTCGTAAGAGCAGCAAAACATTCAAAGCGGAATCTTCTAAGCTTGACCTGCAGTTTTTACATACAAAATCTATTGATGAAAAACATATTTCGGCATCAACACTTTTAGGCTGAACTGTCAAAAGGTAGACATAATCCATTTGAAGATAATGACCCCTATCTTCTCCATTACAAAATATTTGAACTTCTTTTACCAGCACGTCTGTCAAATTATAAGTTTTTCGATTTGAGGAAGTTTTGAGTAGATTGATCTAAAAAATTATCTAACTTTTCCTTAAATGAAGCTATGAGTAAATTCATTGAAATCTTCTTCAAAAAGGCTCAGACTGCAATTTAAAAGTACAGTTTCAAGCTTTTTGTTAATTGCAGTGAAAACGGCATTTTACAAAAATCATACTTCAAAATTCATAAACAAATTCTTCCTATCAATTCGATATTTCAAAATTTTCGGGATCCCGGGATTAATGCAAGCAAATATCGGAATTTCCGGGACGTCAAAAACACCGGGATCCCGGGATGGGCATCCCTAGTATGTATGTATACGCGAATACGCCGCCCTGCAGACGCTGCCCAGCTGTGTTTTAAAACCATTTTACGTTCGGAGTAGAGATGGGCACGGGCCTAAATTTTCAGGCCCGACCCGGCACGAGTGCAAAATCAACTTTCAAAAACACGCACAAGCCCGCACGTTAAGAATTTTAGTGGGGCCCGGGCCGGCCCGGCCTGGCACGACGGGACACGCCCCAGCCCGGAAATAAAGAGCCAACTTTTATTGTAGATTTTTATAATATATTTTCTGGGAAGTAGAAAAAGTGGAAGGTATTTTATGTACAGATATGTATGTAAACAAAACTACTAAGTATCATATATTTTCTACCGGTTTCCAAATATTTCTTTTTTTGCTTTTCTCTTATCAAAAGAGTTTTAAATATGTACTATTTTTTTTCTTTGTATAAAAACAAAAGCTCATCTAAATTTTTAGTATTAGCAACGGGCTTTTTCGTGCCTTTTCGTGGTTTTATGAAATTTTACTGAACGCCCAGGGCCGCACGAGTTCGTGCTGACAGCAAATATTCCGGCCCGTACCCGCGGGCTTGCCCTTACGTCGGGCCCCTGCCAAAAGCCCGGCCCGTGCCCATCTCTAGTTCGGAGTCAGCCTTAAAAATGTAGGGGTCTCCATTTGTGTCACAACAACAGAACTCATGGCTCAAGTTTCAGGAGAAGCTTGGCCAAACACTTGAAGAAATTTTTTAGCACCAAATATATATTTGTTTCCTAATTTTAAGGGAGATGGCAATCTTCTGGCTTCACATTTTTAGTACAAAAACCTCAACCCTGATACAAAAATAGCATTAGTAGTACTGAATGATAATGACAGATTGCACTCACATAAACGTTTTTTTTTTGCATTCACATTCTATATGTGAATGGGTCTCAACCATTCTATAACACAATACATATTTTGTGTTTACAATTTGTAACCAATCTCAAGAGTGATTGTTAAATTTTTAAAATCAAACAATCACATTTTTGAAGCGAGTAAAATGTGAATGCATACTAAATTGATTCAATCATTATACAGCTCTGGTGTCTACACACTTACAAGTTTTAAAAAAACAGAGCTCGTAAAGCCATCAAAGTAGGTACTATCTCGCCCTGAGGAATTATATATATTTTTTTTGGGCACTCCATAAAGTCCTCACATGTTTGGCTCGCTCCTGAATTTGCATGTAACGTATTTGTAAAATAGTTAATTTGTGTTGATGGCATCATTTTTATTTTTATCGCTCCGAGTTTTAAAGTTATGCAAAAAATATTCATCACTCACATTTTTAAAACACAAAACCACAAAGCTTTTTACGCCAAACTTTAAATTCAGAAACTGACAAAAGAGAAAAGACCGAATCTAGAAAGATCGATGATAAACAAGCAAGCAAGAAGCACAAAAAGTGTTCCACCGTCTCATCCTCTTCTAGGCAGGATGGGCAAATGCAGTTGTCATTTGCCACGTGAAGTGACCAGTCAGCAGTCGTACAAGTCTGCAGTCCGTCTTCTCAGTGAGAGCAAAAAACTAGATAGACCTTCTGATATTAAAGGCAACATGAGTTTTTCCCACCTGCATCCCCTCAATGGCTCTCAGTCATTGCTGAGCGAAGTTCTCACTTAGTTTATGATGGTGGCTTAAATGGGCGAGTGCTATAACTGGTTGCGGATCGATGAATGCCTGTTCTAAGCTAACTGTGGCCAAATGGTCAGATATCTCATTGCCAGGCACTTCCGAGTGACCTGGCACTCAGAGTAAAGCGAGCTGGTTCTGTTTGCCAACATAATTTAATCGAGACTTGCATTGTCGAACTAGTTTGGAAGTACTTAGATAGAGGGCTGGCCAACGTCTTAAGTGCAGCTTGGCTGTTACTGCAGACACGTAAACTCCTTCACCTACACTTTTTCCCACCATGTAGTCTATGACTTTGAGGATTACAAATACTTCACCTGGAAGACCGAAGCATTTTCCGTAAGAGAAAAGTGAAGTTTATCCCCATTAACTTCGAGTTCGGGCTAAGTGCTGGAATTAAACCGCCATTCCCCCTCAGGGTACTCAGAATTATAGACACAAGTGCTAAAATATCTGCTGCCAGCAATGTCCGCCTCGCCTCAGTCAGTGTCATACTTTTCTTTTTAGTCTGCAGGTGGCTTTTCAAGTTCTGAACACATTGAAAACGACGAGCTACGGGCCACAGCTTCCAATTTGTTATCTTGATTATCTAATTGCTTTGTCGATGGCGGCATGATTTCTTTGAACGCGACAGCGACATCATGAATTTGTATGAGTTTGACATAAAATAAGAGGAAGAACCTTATCTTTCACTGGAAAAATAGAAATAAATCTAATCTGGCCACAACCACAGTCGTCGCGTAGCCCTATCGTCGTCAAAATAATTATCTACATAAGAGTACGTGTTAAAATAATTTGATAGCTGTGGTTCGTAGCCCGTCGTTTTCATTGTGTTCGGGCTGTATGGATTCCCCACGTATGAAGATACAAAGTGACGGTAAGTGCAGCAGTGCGTCAAGAGCACTATACACCATTCAAAAAAATAAAAGTTAAATAAAGAGGGATAGCAGCCATTTTGGCTCATTACTATCGAAACCAGATACATTTTCGTAGGCCCCCACTTACAACTCGTGGACCCCCATATTTTTTAGCGCCAACGTAGACTCCCGTAGAATCTCCCGTGGACCCCTGGGGGTCCACCTGAACCACTTTGGGAATCACTGTTATAAACAATAAATTTTTTTTTTGTATTTTTTAAGTTGAAAACAAATTAAATTAATTATTAATTATCTTAAAAATCCAAATTGTCTATATATTAAAGGAAAAGGTATTTTAAATATATTTAAAATATATCACCATAAAATACAGAAAATTTTCTTCAGATAATATGCTCATTAAAATACATTCATGCAAGTTTTATGTACAGTATGTAATAAATAAATAAACTTTTTAAAGTTTCATAAATTGCAATTTATTTCCATAAAATTAACAAAGAACTCAAACACTTTTAACCGACTTCAAAAAAGGGGTAGGAATATTTTTCTATTTTCATGTCAAGGGTCGTCCCGTAGTTTGCTTTAGATGGGATCATTGGATCATGAAAAAATTAACGGTACTCCTAAATTTGTATATGAGACCACACGCCTACAAAATTTAAAAAAAGGTCAGACCCTGGGACTAGCTTATACTTTTCTAAAGCTTTTCGTTGCGCTGAATCTGAATCCAAAATCAGTTTTTCTCGATTGCCTTAGATCCTCGAGATATTTGGGCCTAAACATACGAAAAACCCGATTTTTTGTCATATTCTTCATGTATTTTCATCAAGAATAGTTTTTTTTTGTTTTTACAAAAATGAATAAATCATTTGAAAGCAAATACTTCCCCTTGATAATGCTGTTTAACTCAACGAGATATCTTGCTTTGAAGTTTATGAGTTTTGCGATATTACTTCTTTGCACGAATGCTTG